TTGGGGTTGGGGGGAATGGGGAATGGGGTATGGGAACCCAGATGAGGGGGGTAAGGTTCGGGGGGCATGTGGAGTGTAGGTATGTCGTACCCTCATCCCCTCACCATGGGCCCCCCACCTACCCCCCACCCCACAACCCTTCAGCCCTTTATCCCAAATCGCCCCCCACATATGTCATCCACCTCCCCCCCCTTCCCGTACTCCGGGTATTTCGCTTCCCCCCCCTTCCCCCTCCGCCTCCACCGCAGGTTCATGTCGGACACGCTGTCCCCAGCCCACGCCCGCGACCACCCCTTCCACACGCACCACCCCAAGGCCTCGCAGCACAACCTGCGGTCTAATGTCAGCGACTCCAACCCCTGGGGGGTGCTGGTGGCGGGGGGGAGCGCGGCCAGGGCGAGGGAGAGACTCAAACAGCGAACGGGGCTTTGAGGGGCTGTGTGTGTATCGAGATGTGAACTGCTGTGTGTGTGGGGGGGGGGAGGGGGGGGAGGGCCCGCCGGGGGGCCCAACTGCACGCGAGCTCAAGTTTTGGTGTTCTTGGTGTCACCATGACAGTATTGTTGTTGTTATGTGCAATTTGCATGTATGTCTACATATGTATATGTTTTATAAGCTATGTCGGTGATCGACATTTTCGGGGGGCCTTTCAAGCGACAAGGTGCATACACACAAACACTCAATACAAACACGTACATGCATACATACATACACATACACACACATACACACTCTCTTACTGGCAGCTCACAGGTAGCTCACTGGGGCGGGCGCTGTGTCAGCTTGGCAAGTTGTTGTTACTGGGTGGGTTTTGGTGTGAGGGAACAAGAAGGGTGAAAAGAAGGGGATGGGATGAAGCGGCAGCGAGGATGTCGGCTTGAGTAACGCAATTTATCTACCCCTAGGCCTTTGATAATTAGCTCCACATTTACCATTAGCTCCTCCTGGTCGGGTGGGGCTCCACCACTTGGCCGGGCTAGGTGGAGGCCTAGCCCTCGTTGATGTGCGTGCTGCTGGTGAGTCGCGCCAAGCTGCCTGGTGGCATCACGACTGATACATCCAGTTCCATCCGTGAAAGTTTTATTAATTATAAGTCAGGTGTGTGTTGGTTAACGTACGGGTTTTTGCTCTTACGTGGCATACTTGTAACCGCAATCATGGATAGCAGCTTTTAACAGCTTTGATTGCGGATTTATGTTAATCGTACAAGTTCGTACAGTTGTACAATTGTCATCAGCATCAGCGGCAACCACCGCCACTTGCAGTAGCAGTAGCAACAGTAGTAGCAGCAGCAATAGCAGTAGCAGCAGTTGTAGTTGGAGCAGCAACAGCAGCGAGACATGCATTCAGCCTCAGACCGGTAATTCGCAGTCACGTTTTTGAAAACTCTCAATTGTAGAAGTCAGAATTCAAAAGAGTATTGAAAGCAGAGACTTTTCCCACAGGGGGTTGAGGCCGCTTCTGCCCTATACCCCTAAAAAACCCTAAACCTCCCCCCCCCAAGGGAACCCCCAAAACCAGTCAAAACGTATCAATTTCAAAACCGATTCACGACAAAATAAAGCGTTACGCGGCATCATCCTGCGCTCTTCCTCCGCCCGCACCCTGCCTTCCCTCTGCCCCACATGCCTAGCCCTCACCCACCCTCACTCCAACACCGCCTGCACATACACATACACACATACATACATATACATACACATACACACATACACATACACATACACATACACATACACACATACACACATACACACATACACACATACACACATACACACATACACACACACTCCCCTGCGCGAACAGCATTCCCCCCCAACATAACTCTCATAACTCTCTCCTACATCCCCAACACACTTCGTTCTCATCCATTTGTGCGCCGTACTCGATTGATCCCCTTTTCCCCCTTTCCCCCTCCGTCGCTACCTGCACAGTAGTAGTAGCCAGCAAAACCGCTATCTGCGGTCGCCAGCCCCCAACAAGTTCCCCGACATAGAGTAGAGCCAACCCCCCATCCACCCCCCCCACCCCAAACCCCATCGTGCACCTCGCCTCCTCGTTGCATCATCGTTATTCTCCACATCGCACATTCTTCACTTCTTTTGTTACACTTCACATCAAGAACATCATCTAGTAATCCTATAGCATTTTTGGTTTCACTGTTCCCTACCGCCCTTCTTATCACCAGAGTCCAATCACATCCCCATCCCTGAGCCCCTTCCATTCCTTTCCCCTCCATAGGTGCTCTATCTTCAGCTATTCTGCTCGGCATTGCAATGCAGCCGGCTGTTACCCAGCCAAGGGCACAGTTGCGCGGGGAGAGCGGATACCTGCAGCTCCAGGACACCCTCCCGGGGCAGGCAGTGAGTCCAGCCCAGGAACATGAGATCCAGGGGCTCCACCTCCACACCCTCCCTGGAGGTGTGGTGAAAAGAGCGGAAAAGGTGCCGTGTGTGGCGGTGCAAGTAGGGGGATTAATCGGACGATGGGTGATGGATGGGGCCAGCGGGGTTTTCGGAGATAAGACACACATCATTCATACACACACATACATACACACATACATACTTATACGCACACGTCACTTGGGCTCGTCCTAGGTTCCGACTCCGCGTTGCGCTCTGGCGCGGTCGCCTGGTCGGTTAGAAGCACATCCCCCCAAAA